GCCATTGCCTCGCACAGGCACTTGGTTTTGCACAATCTTTCTGCCATTTTTCAGAGTCAGCACTCGTCTTCAGTGCTCTGAATAAAAACATCCTCAGCATACTCCGTCATCTTTTCCAGTTCACCCATCAGTTGAGTATCACCAGTTTAAGCACAGATTCTTTTGAGGCCCTGCTGCAGTCATCCTCTCACTCAGAAAGCTCACCGGTTGGTCCACCTGCTGCTTTGTATCTTTTGACCAATTTTTTTGTTGATCTGTGGAGCATTCCTTTTTTCTCATGAAGTGCAGATTCTTAGCTGTACAGTAATGAAGTACCACTTTCTCATCCCTTTGGCTTTAATGACTAATCCTCAGAGGGTCAGCAGAGTACAGCACACCCATACTTCACGGGGGAGGGCCCATTTTGGGGGATAATTTGCCCCTTTTTACCACACTGGCATCATTTTGGAATTACTCCAGGGTTGCTACTGGGGAGGTGGGATTGTCCTAAAATGCCCCCTCTTTTTTCCTCTTTCTCAGTAGTTTAGGGCTAATTCACCTAAAGGAAGGATGGGCTGCGTAGGGAAGAGTGTGGCCAGCAGGTGGAGGGAGGTCATTCTCCCCCTCTGCTCTGCACTGGGGAGGCCACAACTGGAATCCTGCGTCCAGTGCTGGGCTCCCCAGTTCCAGAGAGACAGGGAACTGCTGGAGAGAGTCCAGCCTGGGCACTCCGTCATCTTTTCCAGTTCACCCATCAGTTGAGTATCACCAGTTTAAGCACAGATTCTTTTGAGGCCCTGCTGCAGTCATCCTCTCACTCAGAAAGCTCACCGGTTGGTCCACCTGCTGCTTTGTATCTTTTGACCAATTTTTTTGTTGATCTGTGGAGCATTCCTTTTTTCTCATGAAGTGCAGATTCTTAGCTGTACAGTAATGAAGTACCACTTTCTCATCCCTTTGGCTTTAATGACTAATCCTCAGAGGGTCAGCAGAGTGCAGCACACCCATACTTCAGGGGGGAGGGCCCATTTTTGGGGATAATTTGCCCCTTTTTACCTCCCTGGCATCATTTTGGAATTACTCCAGGGTTGCTACTGGGGAGGTGGGATTGTCCAAAAATGCCCCCTCTTTTTTCCTCTTTCTCAGTAGTTTAGGGCTAATTCACCTAAAGGAAGGATGGGCTGCGTAGGGAACAGAGTAGCCAGTAGGTTGAGGGAGGTCATTCTCCCCCTTTGCTCTGCTCTGCACTGGGGAGGCCACAACTGGAATCCTGCATCCAGTGCTGGGCTCCCCAGTTCAAGAGGGACAGGGAACTGCTGGAGAGAGTCCAGCCTGGGGCAACAAAGATGATGGAGGGGTTGGAGCATCTCCCTGATGAGGAAAGACTGAGAGAGCTGGGGCTCTTTAGTCTGGAGAAGAGAAGGCTGAGGGGAGACCTTATCAATGCTGACAAGGATCTAAAGGGTGGGTTGAAGGAGGATGGAGCCGGACTCTTTCCAGTGGTTCCCAGTGACAGGACGAGGGGCAACGGGCACAAGCTGGACCATGGGAAGTTCCACTCCAATCTGAGGAAGAACTTCTTTGGGGTGAGGGTGGCAGAGCCCTGGCAGAGGCTGCCCAGGGAGGGTGTGGAGTCCCCTTCTCTGGAGATCTTCAAGCCCCACCTGGATGCTCCTGAGTGATGTGCTCTGGGCAGCCCTTCTTTGGCAGGGAAGATGGACTGGATGATCTCTAGAGGTCCCTTCCAACTGTGACGACTCTGTGATTATGAGATTCCATGTCCCTGAAGGCAGTGGGTCAGTGAACCTTCCAGTGTTCTGCAAGAAGCTGACCTAGAGGACACTGAGCTCTCCTCCTAGTCAGTACACATCTGCCGGTGCTACGTAAGGCAGACGCTCAATAGATTTGGACACTTTAGGAAGCTGGACCCCCACACCACGTGCTGGCTCTGAATGCAATTCATCTCTGTCTTGCTGCCCTCCACCCTCCCACGGCCAACACGGTACAGTTTTATCCACCACCCACCTCCTCCCCTTGCTTCGTGCCAGTATTGCTCTGCCTCCAGCTTTCTATCTGGGCTGAGCTTCTGCTACAGCTACATCCATCCTTCCATGGGGTTTCTTACCTCAAACTAATACGACTGCTCACTTAGTGCCCGAGATATGCACTGGCTTGGTGCCACGTGTTTGGTTTGTTTAGGGATTTTTGGAGAGGAGGAGGCAGATGGGCTGGTTATATGAAGATCAGTTCCTCAGCTGCCACACTAAGTAGTCTGGCAACTTCCTACTCCTACTCCAACAACCTAATGCAAGGTTTGGGTTCACACCTGCAACTGCTTCAAACTTTATAGAATAAGGTTGGGAACTTGATATTTAAAAACTAAGATTTGATTTTATCAGAATTTATAGAATTTGAGTACCTAGCTTCTAAACTGTTTAGAGTGAACTGCAACTCTCTGGTAAGCAGGTGTTCATGAAAATTACGTAGATTAGGAAAGCTTTAGCTATGTGCTACAACCAAACACATTTTTTTTAAAAAGTTGAACTTCCATATGCTGAAACTTAGCTATGTGCTACAACCAAACACATTTTTTTAAAAAAAGTTGAACTTCCATACGCTGAAACTCGTTTATAGCAACCCACCTTGCTATTAGTTCCTAACAGAATAGCAGTGTGCTTATTATTATTAAATTTTGTCCTGTCTTTGTTATACTAATTCACAAAGTCAACAAAATTCTTCCACGTAATACTTCTGTCCTTCACAGCATTACAGGAGTTTAAAAAACTGTATCAAAGACCTTGTGCCAAGGTTATGGGAGGAAGTATTACAGAGACCTGTCCCTTGTGAATACTTCTAATAACTCCCCTGCAACCTGGCAACTCACCTCCCGGCACATTCTGTCACACTCTCCTCTTTCCCCAGCTCCTTATCTGCCTGTGACAGCTCCTTATAATTCCTGTATTAATCTGCACCATCTCCACTTTAAATAATAATTTCCTTTGGGAACTGTACTGAATGAATGCTTCCTATAAATCTCGATCGCTTAAGCCCACCACGGCACTGTAGTTGAGATGTTCACTATCTCGGCGAAAAGAAACGTTAAGTTAGTCTGACAAAATCACCTTCTGATCAGAGTTCTGCATTTTATCCCACTTTTCACTTATGATGATGTTCTTGATTACTCTCTGTACAAAACCTGTCCTAAGACATTGCACAGTATTGGAATAACCTGATTTGCATGCACTTTCCAGGATTTCTTTTTGCAGATACGTTAGCATTCACCAGCCAGACTGCATTATCCCCTTACGAAAATAAACGTTAAGAGTGTTGGCTACGAAACGTCCAGTGACCAGAGGTAAAATCAGAAAAGTAACGCTTTTGGTTTCTACAAAAGAGGTGCCTAACAAAACCAAGAGCTTTCCAATCTTTTACTCATCCTTAAATACATCATGCAGACTCAGTAAAAACTCCCAACAGAAAGGAGACGGGTCATTTAGTATTCCAGGATGATTTTACTGCTTCCTACTTCAATAGTGACATTAAACCAATAGTGGAGCATTTGGAAGCGGAACGGAAATATTGCCACAATAAATGCTTTGGCAAGAATGAGCTCATGTCATTTGAGAACAACTGTTGGGCATTTCCCACAAAAAAAGGCATGGAGGGGCTGGAGTGGGTCCAGAGAAGGGCAACGGAGCTGGTGAGGGGTCTGGAGCACAAGTCTCCTGAGGAGAGGCTGAGGGAGCTGGGGGTGTTCAGCCTGGAGAAGAGGAGGCTGAGGGGAGACCTTCTGGCTCTCTCCAACTCCCTGAAAGGAGGGTGTAGCCAGGGGGGGTCGGTCTCTTCTCCCAAGTCCCAGGCCATGGGACAAGAGGAAATGGCCTCAAGTTGCACCAGGGGAGGTTCAGGTTGGAGAGTCGGAAACAAGTTGCTAGGGAAAGGGTTGTGAAGCCTTGGACTGGGCTGCCCAGGGGAGGGGTTGAGGCCCCATCCCTGGAGGGATTGAAAAGCCGGGTTGACATAGTGCTTAGAGACATGGTTTGGTGATGGTTTCAGAGTGAAGTTGATGGTTGGACTAGACGATCGTGAAGGTCCCCTCCAACCTAGACCATTCTATGATTAGGTTTTTAATCTGCTATCATTACTGTGCTAGACGATCTTGAAGGTCCCCTCCAACCTAGACCATCCTACGATTAGGTTTTTAATCTGCTAGCATTACTGAGTTACCTTGCTCTTATCCATGTAGGAATGAAAATATTTATTTTTTGCTGAAGTTTACATTGCCATCAGAGCTCAGTGCAACTTGCCAAGGAAAAGGAACTTAAAATATTTCCACCTTCTCCCATCTTTCTACTCCTTATCCATGTAGGAATGAAAATATTTATTTTTTGCTGAAGTTTACATTGCCATCAGAGCTCAGTGCAACTTGCCAAGGAAAAGGAACTTGAAATATTTCCACCTTCTCCTATCTTTTGTTTGAAGTCCCAGCCAGAAATTTACAAGTGAAAACATGACTTGAAGAAAGATAACTCTTGGTCATGATATGTGTATTTCCAACAAAACCAAGCATCTTGTCCCTGTGGTACAGCAGAGTTGCTGGGCCCATTGCCATCTTGTGATTCAAATCAACAACTAAATGCTTAGTGCCACGGGGCGTGCAGCAGCCATCATTCCAAAAGCCTCCTATGGACAGATTTTCTAGCATTTCCCCACAACATCTTCTGTGTTAATACTTCAAGGATATGACCTAAAGTTGCAAGGGTTTCATGTAAGCATTATTCCCAGTATGTAACTCTATACTGATCTTAAAACTTAAAAAAAGAACCCTAAAATATATGGAATATAAGGGGAAAAAACCGCAGTTTTCAGGAAGTGTGGTGGACAAAGCAGTAAATGAAAACCCAACCTGTCCAGAGGTGAACTGAGCTTAAAGGAATGCAGTGGAGGGGATTATTGGAGAGAGTATTTCAAAAATCACTTTCACCAAAGGCATGCCCATATTAAAAAGGAAATTATGGTACCTTAATTGCACGTCTCAGCCATAGTTTTGACATCGTATGTTGATCACCTGGAAAGCAGAAAATAGGAGATTAATAATATTGTTCATATTTTAATTACTGATTAATAATACCAACCAATATCACATATTCATCCTGTATTAAAAGAGAAGTTTTAGCCTTCTAAACAAATAGAGAAGAACAGAATACATAGCTTTTGGTATCTGCTATTTTATACCCAACAAAGGCTGCTTCAAATAAGAAAAATAACAAGAAAACAGTGCCTGAGGTTTTCATTAAAGTAGTTTACGTATTTTCATGAAGGCTGTCAACTCAGAAACGAAGGGAACATTCATAAAAACTTTAATTCTTATAAAATATCTACCCTAAAACACATCTATCAGGCACTTATCTGTAATTTATTTAGTCTTACATATATTCTCTGCCCTTCCCCAACTGAAAACATTTAACAGTCAAATCTCCAACTGGAGCTTTACAGCCCTTTGTTATGTGCATATGAGTACCCTCCTGGGATGGAGAACACAACTGGTGGGTGCAGGAGTATTTTGGGGGACATTTCTCCTGCATTTACCCAGGTGAGACTCTGCCATGGGGAAACTTGGCATGCTAATAAAAGTCGAGGGACCCAAGAAGCATCTGGGCCTCCAGGCACAGACTGTCAGAATTGGAGGTTTCACCAAAGAGCTCCAAGGACCTCTACCAAGGAATGACTTCTGGTGGGCACAGGGCAGAGACCCCAGGACTCCTAACGGTGTGAGACCTGAGACAGAGGGGGGCACTAGGAACCCACTGGGGAAACTGGGTGGTCACTGGCTGCACTCATTTTTCCCCTCCATAGGTACCCCTCTTGCCTCATCCTGGTAACACCTAGTGCCAAACTTTCAGAAGTTACCAGCACAGTGGTACCTACATCAAGGAACAGTTTTGTTTGGGTGGTTTACTGAGTCATCCAGAAAGCATGAGTGCAAGTTACCCATTTTCAATAGAATTAAAGCTAAACCAAGCCTGCAGCTCTGAATGCTTCCAGACTTCAATGTAATACCCCGGCTGAAAATGTAATTTATGGCCTCAAGTTACGCCAGGGGAGGTTCAGGCTGGATATTAGGAAAACTTTTTTCACTGAAAGGGTTCTCAGGCATTGGAATGGGCTGCCCAGGGAGGTGGTTGAGGCACCATCCCTGGAGGTGTTCAAAAGACGGGTTGATGTAGTGCTGGGAGGTCTGGTTTAGTGATGATGCTCCTTGTTTGTTGTGTGGGTGTCTATTTTTGTCAAAGTTAGGTTGACGGTTGGACAAGATGATCTTTAAGGTCCCTTCCAACCTAGAAGATTCTGTGATTCTGTAATTTGAAGTGAGAAAGTTGTATATGGTCTGATTTTCAGACTAGCCATGCAGAATGCACCTAACCCAAAGCCATCTCAAAGGGTTCCAGAATTGAAAGGCTTGCAAAGAGCCAGGCACAAGTGCCTGCTCCGTACAGCAAGAATCTCAGGGAGCAAACTGAGTTTCAAACTGCATTCAAACAGGATCTTTGCTTTTGAGGTGGAGACTGTAAGTTGTTATTGGTTTGCTTTAGAAGTGAATCATACACTTCCTGGGCTCATTTCACCTCTTTTTTGGCAAAATCCAGGTCTTCACTAAGAGAGCATCTGTCAACAGTATCTTCAGACAATTTCACACCAAGCAAAGGCGTGTTGCAGGCTACTGCTTTGTCTTTTACTTCTGTATTCGTAAGTTATCTATGTAATAGGACCCAATTGTCCAGACTATGCAAAGAGCTAGGACTTGACCAATAAAAGAACAAAACTTATTCTCAGGGGTGTTAATTGACAGTGGAAGCTGTTTGTTACATTGGAGTTACCCAGCTTGGCAAGCTCCTAAAGTAGAAAGCAGGTATATTTAGGTACAGACTGCTTGCTTTGCAAGAACTGAAACTGTTGATTTGTTCTGAGGTGGAATTAATACGTGGTAGGTCGGGTAGTTATATTTATAAAATAACTCACAACTTTTAAGGCTGATGGAAATTCGTGGACATAAATGGAGGCTGTGCTGACTCCAAATGAGATAGCACAGAAGTGGAAACAACATGGTATTTTATTAGCCTTCAAAATAACTCTTTAAGTAAAAACTGATAAGCTTCATCAACAAGACACCATATGTGTGTGGGAATTCATAACTTTTCCCCAGAACAGGTCTGCTTGACCAAATAATTTCTCTCTACTAGATATATATATGCACACACACATATATATACATACACAAAAAGAAAAAAACCACACAAACCTAGAGGACAACCAGGCAAAAATAAGGAATGAACAATCTGCACTTCATCACAAGAAACATCTGTATTTCGGAAGAAATCAAACAATTTTACCATCTTTTTCAGGAAAAAAAACCAATGGTTCCAGCATACAAGCTTATTACTGAAATTTATTCCTAAAAGAACTCCTATACCATGCTTTAAACAGAGTTGGTGTAAAGTTGGGGGTGGGAGATAGCTGCTCCTTGAGCACATGCACTGGTCTGTAGGGAATACAGGCACATTCTACCAACACCATGGTTACCACTGAGCCAACATTCCACCAAAATAATGATCTATTTCAGCCACAAAACTCCACAGCATAAAGGCTGCAATTAGTTTGTCCACAAAATGCCCAGTCTCCCATGCATGGAGTAGAGGGAGAGAAACAAAATGAATTGCATTGCCATGGGAACAGGGTTTACTACTTGCTTTACTAAGAGATTAATGCCTATTGTCAGCAGATTTTATGATAAATGACCGTCATTTTGCATTTTTGTAATGAAGATGCATCATGCTGTGTGTTACACACACACCGTAGAACACTTTCCCTCTAATCATCAAGGGCTTTTAGTTCTGTATATTATTGTACAAAAACAAAATAGGCTGTTTAGATTGTGATCGTTTTGGATTTTGACATTAAAAGAAAAAAAAGATGCTTCATCTGTGAGTTTTCTCCAGCACTAGAAGATAGCACCACAGCTAGGGACGGTGGCTGTTCCATCAGCCTGTGCTTTGGTGCAGGAGCAGCAGATGAAAGCAGGCAGCAATGTAGCCATTTCAGCTACACAACCCATAATTTGGGGTTTTACTGCTAACTTTACATCCCCACCACACCTGTGGTTCAAAGCTGCCTGAAGGACCCTCACCCCCCAATTAGGGGGAGCAGAGCGTTTTGTGTCCAGTGGAACTTCTGTGTCTTCTGGGTTAGTTTCCTCTAAAAGGAACCTCAGTCATATGCATCAAAACACCCCAAAATTGACCCAAAACCCAATAAACAGGAATGATCAAAGGAATCACTTCAAAAGCATGTTCCAAACTATTAACTATTTCTATTCCCAAGAGGAAGTGATGGGATATGTTAAGAAAAAACCACTAATAGGGTAGAGGAAAGGTAAAAATGTACTTTTACCCAATTCAGTGCCCTCCCGAGCCCTTGTCTGCAAGTACCACATAATATCACAATTCACCCTGAAAGGCAAGAACCAGGGGGGTCCTTCAGTAAGCAGTGGTGACGTGGTTATCTAGTAAACATCCCCAGTAGCTATTCAAAATCAGACATTTGGCCTTTTATTTCTTTGCTGTCCTTTCAGTGACGGAAGACTCAGTGGAAGTGTTCTGAAACTCTGCTGCCATGGTTCCTTCTAACCAGCAGATGTACGTGTTTCTTTTAAATTAGAGAGGAAGCACAAATGGCATGTTGATCTAATAATCTCAAAATATTGTGCTAAATAAATTTTCAAGGCTGTAATTGAAGACTAGCTTAATTTCTACAATTGGTGACTGCCTGAAAAACAACTCCTGTCATTAAATCTGAAGCACTTTTTGGTATTATTTCCAAGATCTTGGGTTTTTTTGAGAGCAGCTTTCTCATCCTTTCTTATTGATACAATAAATACTCCTTTCACCTAAAGAAGAAGAAGGCCAAGTTTGGGAATAAGAAAAGTGAAGAGGTCTCTGTTCCTGAGAACACCCATGAGCAATATCAAAACTCTGAAGGGCAGGATCAATCTGTAGTTCTGCCCAGATCCTTGTAACTTTTTATTTTCTGAAGACTGAATGAACACTTGGGAAAGTACAAGTGCCATAATTCTGGGCATACAGAGGATTAATTTCTGAGTTTTCCTGAAATGGGTTCCTGACCTTTTGCCATAGCCATCTGCTGACTCTCCTGGCTTGCTGACATCACCAGCTTGCAATGGCCAAGACCTGAGGCTTTGATCCAGTGAAATTGGTTATATTTTAGTCGGTGTTGAAGGACCCACTGCTTCTTCGTACATCTGTGCTCACCCAGAGTTAATGGCCAGATCTAGCAACTGCTGAGGTCTGTCCTGACTGAATGAACACTTGGGAAAGTACAAGTGCTACAATTCTGGGCATGTAGAGGATTCATTTCTGAGTTTTCCTGAAATGGGTTCCTGACCTTTTGCCATAGCCATCTGCTGACTCTCCTGGCTTGCTGACATCACCAGCTTGCAATGGCCAAGACCTGAGGCTTTGATCCAGTGAAATTGGTTATATTTTAGTCGGTGTTGAAGGACCCACTGCCTCTTCGTACATCTGTGCTCACCCAGAGTTAATGGCCAGATCTAGCAACTGCTGAGGTCTGTCCTGTTGCAGACTGGTGCTATGTTTCTAGAGTGGGGCAGAGCATCAGGAAGGTTTCTGGTTAGCAGGGAGGGAGGGGATGGGCTGGATTTCTTAGTTAGGGGGTTGGATTAAGGCTAGATTTGGGGGTAGCACGTCAAGGGATCGGGGCCCATTTAGGATAAGGGCTGAGGATCAGCTTTGAAATGGGATTTGGTTCAGAATTAGAGTAGAGGACTGGGGGTAAGAGCCAGGGGAAAGCTTTAAAGTAAAGGTCAGGGCAAATACTGAGAAAGACAACTCCTCACACCAGCACCCACACACTGGCCTCTGCCCTTCCCAAGCTCTGAATTTCACTGAATTTTTAGAGTTGGAAGGGACCATAGAGATCATCTAGTCCAACTCCCCTGCTGAAGCAGGATTGCTCAGAGCTTGTCAGAGCATG